TTATTCCGATCTTAAGGATAAATTTTTACAATATACTTACCTTACAATACTTACCTTGTTCATCTCAATATACATATATTACTTCAACAGATATTGTCCACTCTCTATTTTCAAAGTGCAAAAGAAACATTGAAAATTTACAAGAGATAAGAAATATCTTAAACTTTGTGCGTAGCTCTTAGCTTGGTATCGTTTCCCAAAGATTGTTCTTTGGGAAACGATACTTTATATAGCCTACGATCGGCCGGGTCCCCCCACCCCGAACGGAAATTTTCCATCTTCACCGATTTTATTAATTATTGATTTTCCGTTCTCGTAGCCAATAATTTATTAATTTTTTCACTTTTATTGTAAATATACGTCGCGGACAATTTGTTATTAACAATATTAATTTGTTATTACCAATCAGCGTAATAATTTATAAGCTTTTAGAAAATTTTAGGTACATTTTAAGAAAATATACGTTGTATCTTCAAGTAATAGCCAATAATTTTTATTTTTTCACTTTTATTATGAATTTACGATAAAAACAATTTGTTATCAACGACAAATATAATAATTTATAGACTTTTTACAAATTAAACTGTATGTACGCTTTTTAGAATATTAATTTCTGTGATGCATTTATATTAAGAAATTTTATTACTCTTTTAACATGAGAATAAACACATGACCAAGAAATTAGGTCACCGAGTGGTCATCAATTAAAGATAGCCATGGTGTAAAAAAATTTTACGTATTACTTGTTAAATGTCCACTGCAGGACAAAATATACCTTCACATTTTTCCGCCGCTAGTTACGAATTCAGAGACAGATTTGTTTAAAACAGAATGGCGAATTCAAAATTGCGGATAATGTTAGAAAAGGTTATACTACTGAGAAACCAGGTATCATAAAATTTTCGAACCCGTCAATTATGCAATTAAAAGGTAAAGTAAAAGATTTTATTATTGCCGAAATAAACATCCTTCGGATATTAATATATAAACAGGAAGAGGAAGAAAATTAGAACGATGTGATTACGTGTAAAACAGAAATATCCTATTGCTAACACATGAGCTAGGTACAGTACAATTTCACGCATCGATCGTCAACAAATCGCGATCGGCAATTTTTCGACGATATTCATACTGCAATAATTACAATACACATTTGCTCCATGAGATATGCACGTTGGTAATCCAGGAATACCGCCATTGTCTGCGATAATCGCGCTATTGTCTCTTCCTTCCAAAATTAAACGATTCGTCGGACGGGTGAACGGGCAACGAAACTAATCGATCGATTATTATTCATGTCTGTCAAATATTCGAATAATAATCCGTTTTAACGGCGGATGACCCGCATGCGGGATCCACGGCTCGTTCCATTTCGCGTCCTATGTTTTTTCCAATTACTTGCGTCCCTTTTTTTGTGTAATTCGCTGGTCGACCAGGCTCCCGGTAAAATATTATGAGCAAAATTGTCCGGTCGTACGCGGGTCGCGTACGAATTGCAAGCGGACGCGCAAACAAACGCAGAAACCCGATGCATCGGTTCGATATATCGCGAGCCAGTGGATGCAATAGACCATTCGATAGGCGAACGCGATACGGGAAGGAAACACTTGGCAATTCCGTAGCGAAATATTTATATTCCTCGCTCTATCGACGGGTCCGCGGATAAGTATGACTGGAACATTTCTATCGTACACAGGAGCACTCGTGTCGATGCTAAATCCGATAGACAGCCGGATATCGTCGAGTTGACAGCTCGAAGATTCGATGGATATGGATCTAGTATCGGAAGAAGCCACGCGAATCCTTCGCTTGTTCGCGCAAATCTCTCGGAAACAGAGTGTTCCTTGTCTCGGCTTTTTTCCAAGTTCCTCCCGAATTCGTGGATCAAATCGCAGAATCCCAGGCTTATGTAGATGCAACGTCCCGACGCTGGAGAACGACTCGGTGTTGCAGTTCGGGATCACGGAATTCCTGACAAAACCAACGGAGAAGCCGGTGTCTTGTTTGCCCGACCCTTATCGCCTCGAGACACTATCGACGCGATTGCACGTCGGCGAACGAGCGTTTAGGCGCCTTTTACTATTCGCTGATCGCGCTGTTTGACCAAGTCTCGCAAGTATCTGTTTCCCGGGAATACAGAATGCTCCTACGTTCACGGATTCCAGATTTCGAATACCGAATACCGTATCCAGCTTTTTTCTCACGCGGGATATTTCCGAATGGCAACCTTGATTTCTATCCACCCACTGCTGAACGACCTACTCAATTTCAATGAGAGTTCTCCAAGGAAACGTCCTATTGCGTACGTCGTGAGAACGATTTAGAAAGCACGCGAGTGAGAGCCTTCGAGGAGGGTACGCTCCTCGATGGTCCCCTTGAGACCACAGTGGAGCTAGCTTCGCGGCGAGTAAGTAGTATGGGGCCGCGATGATCGGACATTTATTTTCCTTAGCGCAATCTAGCGAGGTACAGACGAAACGGCTCCTTAACTCTCGCGTTTGCGAGTACGTATTCCTATTGTTGCGATAAATACGAAATATGGGGGTGCTTTATTTTAACACTCGGGTGAAAATAATACGCTGAACTTAAGAACTCGTTCGATGAAAACAGAAGTGACGTAGCGATATTAGTTCCTCTTGGAAATTCGATAAATTTATATTCGCGTTGTTCACGTTGTTCATCTTGAACTCCTACGGAAGTTTAAATATAACTACGACAGTTTTGCACGAACTGGTATGAAAATTTTAAAAGCGCTGAAACTTTCAAAGTCCCTAGGAAATTTTCGAACAGTTTATAAAGTTCTCGATGCGCGACATCTTTTAAACATTCGGATATATTCCCAATGGTTCATGTAAATTTTATTGCAGTCGTAGTTACACGAGTGGTCGAGGGTGTGTTTCAAATATGCTCGCCTGGAAACGGATGTTTGCGAAATTTGTAACTTTTGTCTCTCCAGAGAGCATTAAGGGACACTTTCCTGTCGTAAAATTAACTAAAAAATTGGCGCTATTTCGCGAGACACGGTGTGAAATGTCGCACAATACGCGAGAGTGTTTGTCGATCTTGATATTCGAATACGCTCCATGTCTTTCTCGATATTTGCATCTACCTGCTGGTAGTTATTAACGCGACTCTGAGCGACAAGCAACGGAAGACTGGGAGAAAATATACACTCGAGTAGGAGACAAAGGAACCCCCTGATGGCTGTTGCGATCGTTAATAAGAATTAGGAGCTTTATCAGAACGGACAATCTCGCCGCGTGAACTTGCAGACTTATTAAGCGGCACTGCGACTCCATTTTTCTTGCCTGTGTAACTTTTAATACTGTGAAACGAGTTCGCAGAAATTTTTATGTCGCGCGAGTTTCGAAGAAATATGAACAGGCTGTTAGACTTTTACAAAGTTAATTAAGCGATGGAATCTCTGTGCCTTATTTCGAGTATAAATTAAATTCTGAGAAATATATACAGTGACCCGTATTTTATTCCATTATCATAATTATACAGGGAGACGAGTGTGCGTGAGAATGTATGAAAATTCCTATCCTAATCGATTCTCATAAATATTTTATTCCCCACGAAGAGACACGGGTCCTAAAGATATCTCTCTTTCCAAGGAGAAACGCGAGTCATGCTGACACCCATAAATATTCACCCGGCATCACTATGTCGTATGGCATTACGATCTATTCGCCGATAAAAGGATTTCGATTTTATAATAAGGATCAGTCAGTCTGGATCTCGGGACAGCATTGAGACAGTGATCGCGATAACGAGGCACATCGTATAAGTCATAACCTGTTTTATAGACGTTAATCTATCCTCGATAAACGGCTTTTACGTCCTTGAAAAACTACGTCTCCATCTCGCAAATTATTCCCACGAATCATTCCAGATATTACGTATTACAAATTCGTATCGAAATCGCGACAGCTGAAGCTTGAGCATTGACAGAACGGCGAGATCAAGCGTGTAATCAGGGTGAAGAATTAATCTTTTGGGCGCCGATAATCAGACAGGCGAGGGTGTGCTCCCGTCGAAGGATCGTTTAGAAACAATTAATTCAACTCGGTCAATTATCGCTGGCGTCGTTCCGAGAGAGCGATGGAGATCGATTGGTTCGTAAAAGAAGTTCTCCACCGAGGGAACTTTCAGTGGCGACGTAGATAAATCCCTCCACCGCTGGTTACTGGTTTCACTGCAGCGTTTTATGGCGCGAATTAATGCTCGGACTTGGCTCGAGTTTACGCGCTGTGACAAAGCAACGGCTATTCATTCGACATCGTTTCGATCATTTCGGGCAGATAGGAAACAAATGCGAACACGGGGCTGATGGAACGAGGAAACAAGACGGGGGAGTAACGCGGGAGATTAAAGTAGTCTGACACGGGACCGCTCGAAGATGGATCATTCTCGGAGAACTCTTTAACGCACGCTGCGCGTGAAACGGAGAGGAATAACGATAAAACGAGCGAAGAATAAAAAATGACTGCTGCAGAGGAAGGCGTCATCCTTTATCCGCGCGAAGGGATGCAAGAATCGGTATAACGAGCCACGGCGAATGAAATTGATTACCGAAGTTGCGAGAGCCGGGAACTTCCAGCACGTACAGAAATTATGATCAACGGCGCTTGGATACACAGCCTCGTTAGTATTTGTACTCGCAGTTTCCAACCAGATCGAATCGTATCACTGTAGGAGTATGCGAGCTCCGGTTACCGATAAGGCGGCGTGAGTGACGAGCACGTAGCAGCGATAACCGAAGCCTCAAAATGAAGCAGCGATCCGCTTGATCTTCGCGGTGGATTGACAAAGAAGGCCCATCGTTAAAAGGGCAGCTCGAAGAGCGGACGAGAGAGTTTCACGTGAGAGACGAGAGCGACGTGTGGTAGGAACGAAAGAATATTGTATTCAACGGAGCAAAGTCATCGTACAATCGGCCATCGAGTAACAGACTTAATTAACTCTTTGCTGCACAGGATTTCAGATAAAATAGACCCATGTGTGGTAAAGGGTCGGGTTTATAGAGATTTGACTTTAAACTTTGATTTTATTTTATTCTCTTCCAGATACAAATGCGCGGAGGCTAGAGACTTGTGCCATGTGTGATGCAGACAGAAAATTGTCGAAAGAGTGTGTGTTCCCTCGAACCCTTCTGCCAGGTTTTTATAGTCCCTATAACGACCCATTGCGTCACTCAGTCCTGCTTCAAAAATTGATAATCTTGATGGTTCCTCGAAGCAAACATAGATCTCGATGCAGGGTGACACCATCCAAATAAAGACTCCTCTTACACATGTGTAGTAAAGATCGGATCCATATGACGAAACGAACTTTTCATTTTGGTTATATTCTATATTTCTTTGTGGTACAAAATACAAGGAGGCTTGAAGTCTTCAACGATGCATGGTGCAGACGGTGGGTTGTCAAAAAGTGTCTCCTGGAACCCTTCAGCCAGGTTCTTATAGGCCCTATGACGACCCATTGCGTCACTCAGTCCTGCTTCGAAAATTGATAAGCTTGATGGATCCTCGAGGCAAACATAGATCCCGATGAAGGCTGACGTCATCCAAATAAAGACTCTTCTCACACAATTATATCTGATTAATTAGCTAAAATAAAATATTCAGTGTGGCGTGGTTCGTAAATAGGGATATTTTTTGTAAATAGGGATATATACTATAGGGATATAATTTGTAAATAGGGAGGATTGATTGTTCTAACGATCAGGAATTCGCTTTGTAGACGTGAGCACTCGATCGTCCTTTGTCCTCGCGGGGGGCACGAGTCGTGGAACATTCTCGATGGTCCTGATCATTCTAAAATCGCGATTTTGCGACACGTACATCCGTGTCTTGGCATGTGTGTATACCCATCGTCCTTTTGCTTTGTTGGGGACACGTGTCGTGGAACGTTCTCGATGATTCTGATCTTTCTAGAACCGCGATCAGCGACACGTGCCCCCGCGCGATTTGCCACCGGGTATCGAACGTTCTCGGTATTTCGAGGTCGCTACCGGCTCAACGTAAACATAGTTCAGACTCGTGATTAGTTTTTGGCCGAATTCCTCCTGTCTCGCAATCAGTCGTGTGTTATTCTTCGCTGTGCTTCCATGGAATGTTCGAACACGCTCGAGCACCTTCGACGTTGACGACCGACCTTGTCGATTATGGCACGCGCCATCGGAACTGAAATCATAGGACAAGAGGTTAATCTCGTATTAGCGTTACATTTAAATGACTGAATATCGTCGATGAAACAGCGACGTTGCTTTAAAGTCATAGAGGGACGTCGCGTAATACGAATCGTGTCATTCAGGATTAAATAAGGAATCGTTAACGTTAACGTTAACGACGATTAAGGTCATTGAAATATCGCAAAGCGTTATTAAGGAGTCGACACAAACGATAATACCAAATATTTGTCGGATTCAACGTTACGGCTCCTTGCCACAAGTCCGACCCTTTAGCTGCGACAACTTTGATCTGGCTCGTGCAATTTAGCAATTAATTTGTCCATTAGAATTTTTGCTATTTAGGGTGGTATCGACTTGACGGTTTACTTCGTGCAAAAGAACATACCCTGTATTAAAAGCGTTACAGTTCTCCTACTCGTTCCCCAGGAAATCTCGCATTAGCCATTGCCGAGGTTTCGCCGGAGTCACAGAGAAATAACGAAATGTACGCTTGTTCTTAAACTCTGCTTTGAACAGGCAGTTAACACGCGGGTTAAAACGCGATTATAAGCGTTTCGCTGTTACGAAGCAGTAATTCACCGTCTGTAATTACGTCCGTTTAACCTGTCAGCGGCCTAATTGATGTAACGTAATTAAAAGGACGCCGGTGAAATACTCATGGAACTGAGAAACGTAGTTTCCAGTGGAAACAAGCTATATCGACAAATTTTCTCGCGAGCGGCAACGTCTTAAGCGACGTCCTTGCCATCTTCGATCATTCGAATTTAATTAAAGTCCATTCGCCACTGTTGCACCGCGGAGAACTCGTTGCACCGACGTGAAACGGCCGGCCGATAACGACGGACCAATCGATACAAAAATAATAGTCGTCGGAATAAAAAGCTATCAAATTTATCTCTCACGCTGTCGAATTGCTTCATCCACCAATTCCTATAACTGATGGTCGGATTTTCCACCGTGTTACAGGTGCGATCTTCACGGAGGATCAGAATTGGCGAAGACGACGCTGGTCTACGACATTCAGTACGTTCCCAAGGACGATTCTTTCCGGACATCGAAGAAAGGTGAGACTCAGTATCGCGAAATTATACCATAAATCTGCTGCTCGGAGCTAACCTTCCCGTGAAACGCGTTCTCCATCATCCGAAAGCGTACAATACACACCGGCTTCCCTCCCTTCAGTCGCAGTGGAACGTATTTAACGCCTCGAAACGTCTAGGGCAAGCATCTCGACACGGAAACGTTACGGCGCTGATAAGGCACGGATTCCGTATCTGATAAATGGGAGACGCTCTCGAGGCGCGACTCTTACCATTTCGGGGTTTAATAAACTGCGGAAGGTAAAGGCGTGCCGGTTGTGGGTCGTTCGCTGGATTTCCACTCGTCCCGCTATCTTCCATTCGCACGGCAAGTCTGATTTCCATCATCGATACGCGTCGTAACTTTTTTACGCGCGCGCGACACGCGTCGTCAAGCTTGGCAGATAAAAATGTAGCGGGATCGTCGCTCTTTCTCGAGACGTCGACCAAGACACACCAGACAGTACCTGCGTTTATTCGCGCTCGATCTCGCCAAGCACGTGAATACTTTACAGACTCTATTCTGCGAGAGGGTTGAAACATCCCCTTTAAAAGGCGATTCCCGGGTTGCGAAAGGATTGCCGGTCCTCGCGACGCCGCAAAGGCAGATCATGAAACTACGCTGATGGTATTAAACCGTGGCATTAACCGGCAAGTCCGAAAGTAGAGCATGCGACGTAACCGCGGCTGCGGAAAATCTTTGTTTAATCCCGGCCGTTACGGAGGCGCCAACCTTCGAACGGATCTCGCCGTGGAAGCTCGCGTTACCGACAAAGTTCCATTCGTCGTGGAGCATCGTCGAGTCGGTGGAAGTTCCGCGTCTGTTCGCAAATCGAAGAATCCAGGCCAATCCGACGCTTTCCAGACCGCGCAATCCGTGCTTTAATCGTCGATCGTTCCCCCGGCGCGCGTGCGCTCCGCGCCAGGATTAAAGGGACGGAAAGAGTCAGGACATCGGTTATCGCGCCGTGATTAACAAACTGCAAAGAAGAACGGCGCAGGACTCGCGCCAGAGAGCCATTCTCGCACCTCTGGAGTAGTCTCCATGCGATAGGTGGTAGCCGCTATATGGAGAGATTGGATTTCAGCTGAACGCGACGGGAAGGGCGGCGAAGGCGAAGTCATAAGGCGAAATTTATGCAAAATAATTCCACGGCCGAGTCGGGGTGAGCAGTCACGAAACCATAACAATGTTTCTTGCTGGCCGATCGTAGGTAGCCGACGAGCGTAAATTGCGAGCCGTAAATCCGCGCGGACGTCGATAAATTTGCAACAAACTTCTATCCGCTGCGAATATCTATTTCGTCGCGGGCCCCGCCCGGATTATTGAGACTCAAAGACACTTCATTTCCCCGCATCGCGTGCTTTTCGCGCGCGCGTATTTCACCGGAGGACAATGGGCAGCCGTATTTTCGAAACGGCGTCTCTGTTGGAGGAATCCAATCGCGCGTTTATACGATACGCGCCGGTGAATGCGTGGAACGCCATTATCGTTTTTGGCGTCGAATGGACGCGGTCATTAAGGACGCGATACCCGGGACACTTTTATTAGAATACAAAGTGTGGACTTACCGGGTCGAAGTTGCAACGTTTCTCTTCGTCCCGTTGAATATTCTAGCAGGGGTCCGGGTTATAGGTTTACGCTAATTAACGTTGACCAGCGAAACAAACGGCGCTCGCGAAACAATCATGTCATAATTCGCGGCAACGATCCCCGCAGCCTTTAGCTGAATTAATCCGGAGTAAATTAGCCCCGAAACCTATACTCGTTCATGGACAGGCGCGGCTGGAAATACACTCGTTGGAACGGTCGGGTAGACCGCATTTACTCAGCCGCCTGTGGTCGCCAACACCCCTCAGGATCTCCATTTTGCCAGGACCATCTCTCCCCATTCGCGTCATAAATATGATGTTGGTGAGCACTCGCGGCTGACATCTCGTATCCACGTTAGCTTCCGCGTTTAAAGGTATTCCGGCCTCGTCTGAAAAGATTTTCCATTTTCAGTGGCCTCGTCGGGCACCTCGAATCTCATCTTTCTCCATTTCCACGGGTTCTTCGCTCTCTCGTTCCCCCCCTCTCTCTCTCTTTTTCACTGTTCGAGTCTCTTTTACTCGTGATAAATCCCCGACGCCGAGGGACCTCGAGTCGGCACGCGTTTTTTCCTCTTCCTCTCCTCGAGTTCTTCGCCTCGCGGCGCGGGCTTAATGTCGCGTACCGGCTGGCTTAAACCCTCGTGGAGGCTAATGTCTCGTCGTGGATTCACGGGGAACGATGCCTCCGTGTCGGCGTCGCGACGTTTCGTGTCGAGTGGGAATTTTGGGAAGCGTTTATCGTGGCCCAGAAGCCGGTGACATAGTCTGCTGACGTTAAAACCACCCGATGAATCTTTAACGACTTTTCCTCTTCTCCTTCGTGTTTCGTTATTGATATTAATCTGCACAGCGTAAATAGAGATATCGTTAATTAAAGCATTCAATAGTATCAACGAAGATACACGTAACATGTATGTAGGGATATTTTTGATTGGCAAATAGGAGGAATAGAAGATGTTGGTTTATTCCAATATATTATTTATTACGAGCTAAAAGAGACTTAGGAGTAAAGCACAAACTGAAAGACTATAATTGAACTATGATCACGCCACTGACACTCTCACATTGACTCCTCTTCAAACTTCGTAAAGGACTATCTTAGAACTGTCCTTGCACCCTCGTTTAAACCTTGCACTCTGTCTTTTTTCATACTCGTGCTCTCTTTCTCAATCAAGTAATATCTCGACAAAATAGAACGTTAATTTTACCAAAGAGATTTTACAGAAAATTGTAATTGCAGTTAACTGCGAAAGCAAAAAGCCTGAGTAATTCTGACGTTAAGTTATACACGATAGGTCGTAACCTCCGCATGGCAGAACGCCCCTAAATTCTCACGTGCATTTTTAGAACCACTCCTCACCCTTAACCAGTGCTCCAACACGAGCATCCGATTTCTTCCACCCCATCCTCGAGCACTCGTAATCGCGGATCATTTGCTACGCCCGTGCATTCTACGAGACAACCTGACTCAAACCTGCCTCTATTTTCCATCATCGGATTTCCCATCCCGTTCCAACATCGCGTCCCATCGAAGTCGAAAAATATGGGCAACACGAACGCGGATTAAAATATTCGCTAAAATTCGCTCGGTTTTATCATTTTCCATCAAACGCGGGGGGATTTAACATCGGTGCGCGAGCGAATCATACTTTCGCGCGTTCATCTGCTCCGCGATTAAGCCGACAATTGCGCGATACAGGCCGGCGTGAAAAAATGAAGCCGCGCTGAAAACGCGGGAAACATAATTTCCACGAATTGACAGGCGTGGATGTTTGCTTGGCACCGGAACGATGTCATTCGCGCGACAAATTCGCGCCGCGTTTTATCAGATTTATTCACCGTTAAACGTCAAATCAGGATCACCGTTTCGATCCCTTTCACGACTAGAGTTCAACCGTGAACGAAAATACAAAAACGAGCTCGTTCAGCCTGGTCCTCCTTTTCTCTCATCCTAGCCGCTTCCTTTCATCCCGTGCTATTTTTCGGCATTCATCCGGAAGGTCCTATGCGACCAGAAAAATTGTCGCTCATGCCGGAAACTCGCGGCTCCTGCGCGAATCCCTGAAAGGGAAGACAAAGCCTTCCGCCGCGGGGAAAATTGAATTCGCGAGAGAGGGAAATCGACTCGGGAACGGTGCTCGATGAATTTCTGAGAACTGCCAGTTAGGATTACAACCGACGAGTATATTGGCGCCGGGCTGGAGCGGAAAGGGAAATGGATCGACCCCCGAGGAAAATTAGATTTTCCAGCGAGGCTCGGTCGATCGCTAGAAACGTTCCTTGTATCGCGAGATATAGATTCCTGAGGATATCAACCGACCGGTTTTTGCCTCGATTTTAATACACACTGCGGAGATAGATGAGTTTTCTCGCGAGCACGATCGGTTTATAACGATGTCCGTCGATCCTGTTCGGTTTACGATTCCCTTTTGCACGTCGATACGTATTTGTTTCGCCTATTTCGCGTCCTATTTCTATCCTTCGGGAATTTGAATTTGAATTTGTGGAAAATTACTCTCCGATATTTCCATTCTTTCGCGCGGTGCTGGAAATTTGGTGTTAAACCAACTGGAGAGCCGTTGATTCTCGTTAAAAAGCCGTGATCTATACGTGCACGCGAATCCAAGCGTTGCGATCGTTATTTATCTTCATCGTTGTTCCAATAGAGACTGAATCGTTATATGTTTAACGATTACCCGCGGAAATATTTGAAAAGTGGCTTCGTAAAGCACTTTAATGGAGACGAACGCGAAACGATACATCACGCGCGCGTGTTTCATTCTATTTGCTCTCGATAAATCTGCGATTCCGTTTCGCGGCGGAAGAACATCGAGGAACATCCGGTGGCTCGTCAAACGACGCAATAACGACGATCGTTAATAATACAAGGCTCACGGGGGGTATTATAATATCCGAGGATTTGGTAATAAGGAAGCCCTCGATGCTTTTATCAATATTTAGAGAATCTTCGCGACTTTGTTTGAAGAGCGCTGGATTATGCCGGAACTGACGCACAAGCAAACGGAAGACACAGAAAGCGGCGTGGTAACGAATTCTCAAAATTCATTGAATAACTTGCACCGAGTCCCTTTGATCTCTCGAGGCGGAACATTTTAATGGAAGCTTTCGTTTATTACCGGCAAACTTTCACGACGGTCTAGCCGCTTCTTTGTGGCCCGGATCCTTGTTCCAACGGAGTATTCGCTGATTCGCCGGAAAATCTTTCTCTCAGAGTTGCTCAGTTTCTTCTTCCGCGCCAGAGCACGGGGAAAATTCGTGTACCGGCCGCGACGCTCGACTTGGGGAAAATGGTGGAACATCAGAGGGACGGACACGGCCCCCCCTTGGATAATTTAACTCGCGAGAACTCGAGTCACGAATCCAGCGTCGCC